GGGGGGAAAGCAGAGGGGAGGACACGCAAAGGGAGGGGGAGTATTCTAGGCCAGACAATGAAAGGAAAATATAGATTCATCGTCCTGGACTGGACTGTCTCGAAGGGGGCGGCGAGCGGGGCTCTGGCCTGCTGCTTTGCACCATTCTGCTGGACAACATCCGACAGAAAGCATGCAAAAAACAGGACATGAAACTTAAGTCACCCTTTTGTGTGAGCGTGTGTGTGGTGCGCTCAGCGCATACATCATTACTCTACACTAGATAAAGTTTTCATAAAGTGCATTGTTAATAATGTGCCTTACAGTCTGCAAATCTGTGTAACAAAATGACATTTTAAATTGCAAAACTAAAAGCTTTACATTTGAAACTGCAAAACTAAAAGCTTACAGTTTCAACTGCGAAACTAAAAAAGTCTTCAGTTTAAACTGCAAAACTGTGTATTTCTACAGTTTAAACTGCACAACTGCGTAAGGCTAGTTTGACAGTTTAAACTGTCATCTCGTTATACAGTTAGAATTGCAGAGCATTTTTATTTATCTTTTCTCTCGAATACGTCACGTCGTTTAAGAGTAAACATATGTTTCATTCAGAAGTTTATTATTACTGACCGTTGCTGACGGACACGTAGACGGTGTCCTCCTCCGTGTTGGACGCCCGGCACGTGTAGTTGCCCGAGTCGCCGTGCGTGGCGGTGGCCACCACGAGCCGCGAGTGCGTCTTGGGGCCGGGCTCGGTGGACACGGTCACCCCGCCGCGCACCGTGTCGTAGTTAATCATGCGCCCGTTGTGGTACCACATGACGTACTGCGGGGGCGTCGGGCTCTGCAACAGGGCAAAAACACACAGATTGTCAGGGGAGCAGGAACGGCAAACACTCGCTGTACTTCAGTAGGGAGGGAGGGAACATGTGACGAGACGACTGCATTCAGAAATACAGTTGCAACACATTTTTGACAGACAGGAATAATGCTGAGGCAAAATGTCTGACCGGAACGAAATATCACACTACCATAGAATGACTTTTACTTTTGTAGAAATTTGTGCAAATGCAATGATAAATAATGTGTGCAACTGGCGTTCACATGCTACTGTTGACAAGACGTTGCACCGAGCGTTGTAAACTTTTATGTGATTGACTGTACATTTGGTTCCTAAAATGTGTTTGAAAATAAAGTTGAACACTTAGTCGTGACCAGCTTCAGGGTTGTCCATGCAGCTTTGGATACTTAAAAGTATGTTTAGTGGTGAGATCGGGTGAGATGAATGAACTGTGTCAGAGCCCTGCGGTTTCTCCCCTCATTCATTCATCAATTCACTCATCCGTCAGAGTTTCGCCTCAAGTCGCTGCCGCCGTGGCGAGTGGCTGAGCGTGGCAAGCGGGCGGGTACCCACTCACTCATTGCGCTCCGAGCGTGGTGGGGGGG